CGCCCGCAGTTCTTCCTCCAGTTTCTCGATGCCCATAGACCATCGGATCTCTTCAATATCAGCGAACGCCAAAGCGTCGCCATCCCACTCTCAAGGGAGTGCTGGAGAATCGCTATTGGACTCTGAAAGCGCTGAAGACGTAGCCTGCATAGAACCAAATGGCGACTATCGATCGCTCTCGAGCCGCGGCCAGATGATAGTTGCACTGCTCAAATTGGCGTGGCCTCAAGTAGTCGCTACTGTAATATCGATTCATTATAGAGAATCAGATTAAACTATTCCACCTGTAGGTTTTAACTCTAATTCCGGAAGTAATTAGCTTATCCTTCATTGGCCGCCTCAAAGACGATCGAATGATCGCCGCTGTAGGTTTGGGAAATCTGTTACTCAACTGTAATGCTTCGATACGGCCCGTGATCTTCGCACTGCGGAACCGCCGAACTGGTCAGGTATTTGCGTGACAATTAGCCTGGGGCTTAGCAGTGGTATCGACACGTTGGTAGCCCAAGCGCATGGTCGGGGGGATCCTGATCTGGTTGCTCTGTGGGATGTACCTACTCAGTATTCGGAGATGATCGCCGAGAATTTAGGTATATCAACCGTGCCGAAATAACGTCTTCTATCTACTGTTTTGCGACACTGCCTATTGCCTGGGAGGCAGAACGCATACTGATTTGGTTGAAACAAGATCCGAGCATCGCAGAGCTTTCGGGCCAATATGTTCGTGGAGCCTGCATCGGAGCATGGCCGTTGTGCATGTTCAGTAATACATACTTCTTCCAGCCATCTCTCTACTATTTCCTCAGATTGCCTGCGCAAAGTTCTCAACTGCCATCGCGACATTTATGTTAATATGTATGCATATGGCCTTGTGGTGAGACTTTAGCTCTCCTTGCCCACTTCCGGTTGTGGACTTTCCTCATTTGAATATCTCAGGTGTGTGTACATCCTCTGTGGTGTTGGCTCTATATTGATAGATTTCGGCAAGGCGTAGCTGGTGCTGGTTGGGCCATTGCGACGTCCTGGAGCTTCAGTCTAGTGCTTCTGATGATGTAAGCGTTATCTACTCTTGCTAGGGTGAGCTTCCAGCGATTCCAAGCTCACATAGTATGTGAGCGTGGAAGGTTTGAACATCAGAGGTATGTAGTACATACCTTTGAGTCCCAATTCATTCAATGTGTATAGTCTACACTAGCCCGGGCATGAGCATGGCATAGGTCCTGAGATGCTACTAGAGATGATCTTCGAAAGGTCAGATACATCATATCACCGTTCTGCAATCTACCAAAGGGGACTATGAGACTACCGTTGTATAGATCCTGTTGGAGCCTCCGAGGCATCGCGCGGTGAGTGCGGTTGGATCTCCGTCCAGCGCTGAGATGGGTTCGAACTGTATCCTCACAACCGTAGTGGGTTCATAGTACACTAAAGAACTGTTCGTCTCTCTTCGTATTGGCAGTCTTTGTTAGTTAGAGTTTCATGTCTCTTCAGTTACTGTCACGTTGCACTTCCTGCTACCATTATGCTAGCACTGGACTGGTGGAGTAGCGAAATCTTCAGCATGATCGTCGGCCTTCTACACGATACTGCTCAACTTGCTGCACATGTCGCGGCTGCTAACCTCTACAATCTAGTGTGAGTATAGATGGGCAGAATTACGTTACGGACCGTTACGGCTCACTTTTACGGTTACGACTCAAGCCCCGTACCGTAAAATTACGGCGCCGTAACGGGCTTTACGGAGATGCAGAGGACAAAACGAGGATTGATCATTCAAGTCGCCTGAATCTGTTTTATGTGAATGCCCATCGGTAGACGAAGCTGGCTTGGCAGTTCCGGGCCAGCTTGGGAGTATGATGGGCGAGATTTGCAAAGGAGACGAGTGGTAAATGCCAATCCAAATGTTACACTCTCAGCGGTTCGGTTGAATCCGAGCCGCGAAAAATGAGTTAACAACTATTTGAGCTATGGAGGAGTGAACTACAGCGAATGTTTCAGCCACAATTCTAACAAAGCAGTTCAGCACCAACCGTAAAGTCGTAAGGCCTTTCCGTAACCGTAAACTCCTTACGTTACGCACGTCGTAACGTAAACCGTAAAAAAACGTTACGCTGCCCATCTATAAGTGTGAGCATTCTTGTCGTGCTCTCATCGGTTGGCTGATCCTTCCGACACTGTATCATTAGGTACACCTTTACATTGGGTTTGAGCAGTGCTGTTGGAATCTTAGTTGGTTTATCGATCGGCAAGGGCAACGTGAGCTCAGTCCTTCATTCCATAGGCTCGTGCTACTCTAGGTATCTATCGCCCACGCGGGCTCCAGATGTGGATTAGTTGTCAGCGTCTTGAGCGGCGCTGTAATCGGGGCTCTCTTAGTTTTGGGCAGCAGGTAACAAATCTGTCTTGTTGCAAATCAGTCTCGAACTATCATTTGGGGAGAGGGGTCGAAGGTCGTCTCTAGTCGGTTTATCAGCCACGAATCTTGAGGTTTTTGGACAATATAAGGGAGTTTCAATATGTAGTGTATTGCCCGGGGCAATTTGCCTCCTCCCTCAGGCTCATTGCTGAATTGTATGCCCCTGGACAAGCTCTCGTGCATCATTATCTATACTACATAATCCCCATCATTGCACTCTCGATGCTTACCAGTAGTGCTCAGGCGTCCTTGGCTGGAACGTGCAAAGTGAGAACCACTTCCGAATTGCTCTTTCTGGCTTAACCGGATCCCTCTTCAGGGACTGGGTTATCAAAAGACTGCAGCAATGTCCAACTTCAAGGGCCTTTACCTCGTCATGCTTCCTTTAGGGACATACATGTGTCTCTGGGTAAGGCACGACTCTTACACACAATTCAATGATGCCTCCAACAATTCGCTTCGCCGAGAGGAGATCCTGAACGCGAGCTCTTTGCCGACCCCGCGTTGTTGTGTCAGACTTCCCTCGGAGTAGCTGGGGCATGGATAGCTCGGGTTAGCGGCACTCTAGTCGTGTCAGTACTCCTACATCGGAAGCTCTCTGCTCTTGACTGGTGGGATTAACTCGATGGCAGAGCATCGCTGGTCTATCGTTGCTATGCACTTGTTCTCCGATCAGGGATACAATCGCCATCGACGCTCGAGCTCGAATGAATCGCGACCGAGAAGACGCCAAGACGACGCGTGAGTATCACTGAGTCATGTTTTACGCGATTGCAGCGTTCATCTCCCCGTCCATTATGTCTGCCAAATAGCGTCAATAACGTAGCTTTTCGGTGAGTCTGTGTTTGGTTTGTCCCTACGTACCCCGAGAGCCCAGCGTCTCGGCCTCGGTATTCCTCTTGAGGAGGTCTCATAGGAGGCCTGGGGATGGAAATTCCATCCCCAGAAATTCCATCATGGAATGCGGGGAGTCCCATTCCTGTCTCCTTCTAATCCATCGGTGATGCTATATTACCAATGCTTATTACTATGCTACTAATGACTAATGCCATTGATAATGCCACGTTTGATCTCATAGCCCTTGAGTTTTGAAGTCTTCATTCCTTTTTCCTGAAAAGCTCGCTCCAAATCTTTGGATACTTCCTAGTCCCTTGTCCTTGGGGACGTTATGGTTGTCGTATCCCATCTGAATGTACGTTTCAATATGGCGGCATGAGTGGCTCGTGATTAGTCGATCTTCTTGCAGAAGTCCAATGGATTACCAATACTGGATGGCGATACAGAGTTCGGCCATACGCGCGGGTGAACGACGTATAGAATTGTAACGCTAGCGCTTCTGCCGTCCCTTGCCACCAACAACTCGGCCTGAATCATCGGGTTTCGATACGCGATCCAATCCTTTTTGTTTCTTGGCCACCTCAGACGAAGTTGATGCCGTCAAACGAATTGTTCTTAAACATATCGTTAGCTATTTCAACAAAACGAAGAATGTGTTCATTGATGAATGCGTTGATGACCGAAATATCCTGGAGCGTGAAGGAGACTCTGGATCCGTGCTTATCAGCCGCCTCGCCTGATACGCGCAAGTCCGCATCATCAGGGAAGATCTCATGCAACACGCGGCGTGTTAAACGCTTGGAAGCCTTCCAAGCGTGTAAGACGCCTTCCAATGGAAGGCGTCTCCTGTAGATTAACCGGAATTACAACGCAAGGTTCTAAGTTCAAGAGTGTATTCTGTAAGATAGTTTTAGTGAATACTGGTGAAGTAACAGGGATTGCCCCCATCCTGAGCTGAAGCACTAAGCTCCTGAACTGGAATCATCCACGGAGTGACTCCGTCGGAGTTGTATCAACTCCGGATCCGCATACTTCCTCTGTTCAACTCAGTTGAACAGGGGCAGTAGGCGGATCCTGATTCGCGAATCCGAGTCCATGATTCGACTCACCCTGTGATTGTGATTCGTGATTCAACTCACACCCTAATTCGAGATGACCGATTCAGATTCTTTGCTTAGGAGAAAGAGCTGAGCTTTCTTAGTATGAGTACTTGAGACGGAGTCTGACTCTGTCTGACTTTGTGAGTCAGATTACGTAATCACGATCAGGATTCTTGAACCGTGATTCTAATTGGCCACTGAATCTGATTTCTGATCCTTAATCACGATTCAAGCTTCGAATCTATCCTCCACGGGTGGTTCAGACTCTGAAACTTTCATCTTCAAAGGTTTCGGCACTGAGTTAGAGTATTTTATCCATTCGAGAGTCTATACTCAGAGTTGGGATTTTGCTCGTGATTCCAGAATGCCCCTCACGAGTCAAGGTTTTTTTATTCAACCTCAGAACCGCTTGGACTCGTTTCACGGCATCCGCGCGCTCCAGGATGGAGCTTATTGTGGAGCTTCCTCACATTCTCGCGAGCAGGCTCTAACTTAAAGCCTCTATTAGAGGCCCTCTCAGAATGACTGGATCGGGAATAGATCCTAGGCTTCCGACATGTAAGAACAAATCCTCAACAGGTTTAGCTGTGAGAGTACTTGATATTGGATGTTAGATGGAGGTGTAGACTGCACACGTTGTACGATGTCATGCGACCAACCGGTGTGAAATACACGTGCGTGTTCGGTGTTCTTACTGTTAGCTTTACTGCCTACTAACAGTAGTAGTAATGTTAGCATAGTAGGGGCTCTCTAGTGCAATTCCGAGTGAGTTATGATGTTCGAGCTCAATATAGGCGAGCTACAGTCGACGCCTAGAGTCAGCCGACCTGCTGAGTCGACTCGGACGTTTGAGTGAATATATTGAAAAGTTTACGGATAAATGTACGGATTTGCATACGCGCGACAAACGACTTCCGCGGGAAGATTGCATCATCGCTGTAGTGGAGCGAGAGATGCACGTGTATGCGCGGCGTATCTCCCAGGTTCGAAGCTTACAGAGTGGCGGTTTTTTCTTTGTAGAACTTGTGATTTTCAGTTGCCGGACGCAGCGAATATAGTCTTCCGTTTGTCAAGAATGTGTGATTCAAACCTTATTTCCCTGATTCTCGAAAATTCTCAGATTCAATGGGGGCACTCGCTCCAGAGTAAAAAATCATTGAATCAGGAACAATATTCATCCTCTGATGTCTTCATTTGAGTAGATACTCTGGCTCACCTGTTGCATTAGGATCCGCATACCGTTCCAGAACTGTCCCGCATTATTCGAGTCGTATATATCAGCGGAAAATGAGCGCCATCACCATGGGTTCATCGTGTAACTTGTACGCTGTACAAGTTACACGGTGAACCCGTGGTGATGAACCCGTACGATGTACGCTAGTAGCGTGACGCTACGAGTCTGTCGCACAG